TGGGATGGGTGTTCTGCTCAGACCCTGAGTTGGCTGACCAGCCTCAGTCCCCAAAAGAGGAAGAGGTACTGGGGAAAGATGGTCCGATAAGCCAGAGGCCTGTAAGCTGCCCTCAGGTGTTCTGAGCTGGGTCTTCTGAGTGACTTAACAGAGGCTGCTGGAGATGGAGAGTGGCACGGGAGGCAGGAGGCTGGAGAGCAGGGTCAGATGTGGAAACAGTGGAAAAGTCTGGGAGGCAGACACCTGCTCCTCCTCAGAGATCTGCATGGCTCACTGCTTTGCTCATTCAAGAGTTGCTCAAAAATTGCCTCCTCAGACAAACCTTCCCTGACACACACCTGGGCTGGGGAGGCAAAGCTGGACAACAATGGGTAAGGAACATTTAGCAAACACTTACTACGTGCCAGGGATGTATTAGACACTTCTCGGGTCATCTCATTTCGTCCTCGTAACAGTCCTATGAGGTGGGTGTAAATACCCACTCCTGTTTTACAGATTAGGAAACTGAGGCTTAGAGAGGATAACTCTTCCAAAGCTAGCTAGCTCACAAGCTACAGAACAGCCCCCACTTGCAAAATCTTTCCTCTGCTTCTCCCTACCTCCTCAAGAGTTCGATTGTCTTGTGGAGTTTTGAAAGGCACGAAGGAGCATGGGAATCTCTGAGTTGGGGTGAGAGCTCTTAGGCTCCCTTGCTGTTTCATTCCTGCAGGACCCCAGGCATGTCATGATTTCTGTTTGTAGCAGTCCTGTGGCCAATCATGGTGCAGATTTGAGTTGCTGGCCCTGCCATTTGGGACAGAGAGGGCTGTAGCGTTTGAGGAGCTGCCATATTCCTGAGATAGGATGGAGTCTGTGTGGCTGATGGGGGACATTGGCAGCCAGCTTCGTAATTACGTGAGACTTTTGTTTCAGCTTCCAAGAAGTTAGTCATCAATCCCCCAAACCACGTCCTTGCCCTCCAGAGACTCACAGCCTCGCTAGGAAGACAACACGACAACAACAGCCATTTCTCAGACACTTGCCGGGCACCAGGCAGTCTAGTTGGTGGTTAAATGTGCAGACTCTGGAGCAGGACACCAGGTTTGAAAGAGCACATCCACCACCTTCTTTATCATGTGTGTCTTTAGGCAAATTACCTAACACTACTGGGCCTCAGTTTTTCCACCTGTACTAGGGGACTAATAGTATCCAGACAGAGCAAAGCAGCCTTGACGTCTGGGAGCTGCCTGTTTCTGTTGTCCAGGCTTTGGTGTGGCTTAGAGCTGGCATGGCACAGCTCGGTCTGGGTGTGTTCCTGTTGAACACAGACGTGGCCATGTGCGACCATGATGGATCAAGGCCATTTTGTAATCATGTCTGAACATAGAGAAAAAAATGAATATTGTTCAAACTACGAAAAATGACCAAACATCCCTAACCTAGCTAATCTGAGTGAAGGCTGCTTTTGTACCCATTGCAGCTCTCTCTTCATTCTAGCTGGCCCTCCTTCTGGGTAAGATTTATTAGGATACCCATCATAGAATCACCTCCTCTTCCTAACAGCACCTTCTGACCGAGACACCTTATTGTTCTCGTGGCTCATGTTCTCTCTCTTGCTGCAACAGGTCATAAACACAACCTGTTCACCCACAGGTGTGTTTCTGGTGATCTTTGGCTGGAGGCGCTGATGTTCTCTATTTCACTGGGTTACTGTTACACTGCACTTGGAATGATACATCCTCAGGACTCTTTAAATATACTTGTCATGTGTTAATATCATTTCATTTTATAAGGAGGACATTGAAACTCAGAGAGGGGAAGGAATATTGCCCAGGTCACACACCTGGTAGTGCAGAGCTGGGATGAAAATTCGGGTCTCATTCCCAAGTTGGTTTCCTAACTCCCTACCTTGACATTAATAGGGCAGCAACCAACACTGTAACATTGGGCCAGCCTCAGGAGAGGAACCCTGGAGCTCAAGGAGACAAGAGCCCCAGGAGCTGCGGGAGGGGAATACCCAGGACATCCTCAGTGACTCTCCCCTCCTCCTCTCCCATCTGTGACTTCCCTGACTGGATCCTTCTCTCCCAGGCTGCCCGGCTGCTGAATAAACACAGGCCCAGCAGAGGCCTGAGGTGGGGGTCAGTGTCAGCAGAGCCTGAGGCCTGAGTCACTTCCTGACCATTGCCTAAGAGGTGTCAGGAGCCGCAGTCTGAGTGGTCAGCTCGCGCCCTAGCAGGATTGCACCCACTTGAGCAATGAGCACTTCTCTGGTGGTATTCCTTACCTTTTGGGGTTCTCCTCTGCCATACTCAGGTTTTCTAGACATATAACAGAGAGGCTCAAGCCCTGTCTCTACCCTGGAGAACTGGATCCTTAACCCAGAAGGAAACCTAAGCCTTCTGGGCAATTCTTTCTTGCTCGTGCCCAGTTCTGAACTCTGGCTTCCAGGACTCTGCCCCAAATTCAGAATTAGGATGCCTTCCACTAGTGCCACTAACCCCATAGGTCCTAAACTCCCACAGGCCTCGTAGGCACCTAACCCCTTCCCTATTCCTCCCATAGGGTCTCAGGGCCAGAGCTGGGGGTGGGTCAGGGAAGTGGGTGGGGTACACATCAGATAATCTGTGCAGGATGTACTGAAGGAGACATGATTTGAGCAGTAGACATGTCCTAATGATGTGGGTGAGGCAGATGATTTCAAATACAGGGCATTTCCTTTAAGGAGCAATGCCTCACAGCTCAGAGACACTGCACAGCCCCAGGGCTGAGAGCATGGACTCTAAGGCATGTACTAACTTCTTCAATCCAGCCAGCTCTGCCCCTTACCAGCTGTGTGACCTTCAACAAGTTACTTAACCTCTCTGTACTTCAGGTTCTTCATCTCTATAATGAGGATAATAATAGTATTAATTCATAGACTTCTCACCAAGATTGAGGGAGTAATATATGTAAAACACTTAGAATGATGACTGACACATGGCAAAAACTAGTGTTCATTAAATATTTTTTCACTTCTAATGGGCTAATTCTTTCATTCTCAATATAGTTTTTGATATTCTACGGTATGTCAGATTCTCTGCCTGCAATGCTTGTTGGGCATTTCTGTGGGATCCCTATGCCACTCCCCCCACATGGTCCTCTAGGCTGTGCCTGATGCAGGACTGTATGGAAGGGGTTGTGACACAAGGTTTGAGGTCTGCAGACACCCTAATGAGGCCCCCCCCAGCTTGTTGTAGGCCATGAGCAAGTTCCTTTCCTTCTTCAAGACACCTTTCCGTTTTACAAAGTGAAGCATGTAATCCCCACGCCTTCTACAACCCCATACCCAGGCCAGCAAGGGGTCAGACAATACAGGCTGGACATTCGGATCTCCTGTGGCCATTCTCTGACCACCACCCTGTTCCTGGGAGCCTCTGTGATTTAATTTGAGCACAGAATTTTTTTTTAGGCTGCATAAGCCATCTGACACAAATAGCAAGAAGGCTCTGGCTTGTCATTGCCCTCTGGGTATTAGGAAGCTAGAAAAAAACTGTTTAAAACTGAAATTTTGAACCTAGACTAGATAATTGATTATTATAGAATTACTGTTATTAATTTTCCACGTAAAAATGATCTCGTGATTATGTTTTTAAAATAATCCTTATCTTTTAGAGACACGAAAAGTATTTATGGATGAAATATGCCTAGTTTTGCTTCAGAATAATGGGGGAGGAGAGAATAATGGAATAAATGTGACTAAGTTAATGTAATCGTTGAAGCCGAGGAACCGGAGCCACGGAGGTTCACTAGAACCTCACCAGCAAAGTGTGGTCCAAAGGCTTTCTGAACCTCGGAGCTGGTTGGAAATGCAGAATCTTGGCTCCACCCCAGACCGACTAAATCAGAATCTGCATTTTACTAAAATAAAATTCCCAGGCGATTCGTGAGCATATTCAAGTGTGAGAAGCTCTGGGCTATTTTGTCTACTTTTGTATATGTTTGTAACTTTCCATCGTCAGAAAGTTGCCGGGTTTTGTTTCGTGTTTCCGAAATTGTCTTCAATATCCCCGGCAGATCGTCCTGCAGAGTCCCAGGCTGCAGAGAGCTGGGAGGCCGTGTCTTCCCACCCCTCAGCCCCAAGCGGGAACCCCTCGGTCTATCAAGACCCAGCCCCCAAGGCAGCACTTGGCCGGGAAGCACCCCTTCCTG